ACACACACACACAAAGACACACACACACACACACACACATCCACACACACACACACGAGCGCGCACACACACACAACCCACACACACACACACCAAACACACACACACACACACACACACACACACACACACACACACACACACACACACACACACACACACACACACACACACACACACACACCACCACACAACCACACAAACACACAAACACACACACACAAACACACCAACACACCAACGCGCAACCGCGCAAACGCGAAAACACACACACACACACACACACACACACACACACACACACACACACGCACACGCACACGCACACGCACACGCACACGCACACGCACACGCACACGCACACGTACACGCACACGCACACGCACACGCACACGCACACGCACACGCACACGCACACGCACACGCACACGCACACGCACACGCACACACACACGCACACGCACATGCACACACACGCACACATTCACACACACACAAACTCACACACTCAACCACACAACGCACACACACACACACACAACACACAGACAACACACGCACACACACGCAAGGGTAACCAGGGCTTTCGAACCAGTTACCTGACGTGCCCGAAAGGTGGGCGTGGTGCCGCCCATGCAGAAGCCGCCCTTCCAGCGCACCTCAGCAGAGCTTTTCGGGCCTCTTTTGGGGTCTCCCAAGTTTGATCGGCGTAGCAGAGAGCAGTGCTTTCTTTGCCATGAGCCACATGAAATCTTCCCCTTTGGCGCGTTTGAGGCTTTGTTTGAGAGTGATACAATGGGAATGTCTAGCAGCAACGTTTGTTCCCTGTTTTTTTTGGGCGTTGCTGAATTGAGCCTCTCAAAATGTTGGCCTTGCTTGGGGAGCCAGCCCTTTTTGGGCATCCTTCAACGTAATTCTTTCGGGTGGCTTCCAGAGAAAAACCGGTGGTCCCCAATTCTAGCACCCGGTTGGATGCCAATGGCCCTCATGCCTCCGGGCCTATCTTGAGACACCCTGTGGATGGACGAAATCCATTTTGCACCGCTGTAAAACGCTGGGAAGCCACTGTTCGGGAATCAACCTTCCAGGATCTTTTTAAAGGGACGCAGGATTTTGTCCATCCACAGTATGCACCCCCCAAGTTTTCTGCGGTGTTCCTGTTTAGTGGGATCATTTTTCCAGCGGAACGACTTTGATGCCTGAATTTGGGGTCAACCTTACTGCATTCAAGGGATCCTATGAGGTATGCTGAATTCAAGTGCATGTAGTGCATGGGCAACGGTCAGTATTTACATCATCTACCAGAACAAAGAGGATGACATTGGGTACACTCACCAAATCGCCAGTAGCTGACTCACCAAATTCCCGTGTCAACACGGGACACAATGAATATGGACAGGGTGTTAGTTACTAGACTTGCTGATGCATAGTACAGGGTGTTCTAGGTTCATTCCTGTAAATTTCACCATGTCCATAGAGGATGGTTTTTCTCGGGGTCATTCCATTTCTCACTCCCTGCCTATCAAGAGCCAGCAAGTAGAATGTAGTGCCAGTCGGTGAACAATTACAGCAACTCAGATTCAAGGCCATTACCCAGTCTAGCGAATCTTGGAGAACAGCGTTGTGGGATCACAAGGGGTTTGTCCAACCACTGCCATACTTCTGGAAATCTCGCTCCATAGTTCTGGGGGCTTAGTTTTTGGGAAGCCCTCTTTGTTCTGCTGGTTCTCAGCAGGGAATGAGGGAACGACCCTTACAAGCCATCCCTTGTGGTTCCTTTACGGGTACTGGGTTCATTCCATTTCTCATTCCCTATCGCACCAGCAAGTTGTGTCACAGATTCGTGGAGCCCGTTTCAACCCCAACCCGAATCTTGGAGGACTCCGATGGGCTTGCCTTGGCCCTCGCCTGATTGTGGTTTCGCGCCCAAGAGCGGCGATATCAAGGGGCAAGATCCGTTTCTTGCCCCAAATCCCATCGAACGCAGTTCAGCCTGCTTGCGCTGTTTGTTTTTCAATATTGCCAACGGACGTGGAACCAGGAAGGCTTGAATGAACCTGGCACTGGCCAGCCATGCTCTCTCACCCACCCACAGAGGCCTCAGCCGCACCGACGCGGGCGTGCACGCGCGGAGCTTTCGGCTGGTAGCGCCGCTGCTGAGAATTCAGGCCGAATGCACCTCGCGATTTGATTTGGGATGGGATGCCGGGTATCCAACCTGTGCACGTGGTGCTTGGGCATAGGGATGAACGTGTTGTTTTTTCCCCCGAGGATACCAGCATTTTCAGGTTTGTGTATGTGTGCGCATGTGTTTTTGCGAGGCTATCAACGTTTTCAGGTCGGTTGAAAGGGACACCCAGACAAAACCGCGCATTTCAGGGTCCCTGAGTTTCACACCTCCGCATCCATGGATCCAAGCGCACAGCGCCCCTTTCCAGCGAAAGGCGTCATATGGCTCCCGGCTACTGTAGATGGTTGCGATATCTGCGTCTGGCACCACGAATGAAACCATGGTTGAAGCAAATATTGGTTGGTAGTTAAATGGGAATGACCATTCCAGGGTTTCTGAACGGCGGTGCGAGATGGATGTCGTCCAGCCGCAGTATTGCTGCATGTGGTTGCCGGGGTGGGCTAATCGGACACATGTTGGGTTTCGCCGTGTTAATCCCAGGTGGTTAAATACCAAGCGATTGTGACTCAAGACTTCGTGATAAGGTGTTTTGATACCAGGGTTTGATGTCAGGTGGTTCTTCATTCTCACGATGTTTCTTGATACCAGATGGCTTCTTCAGAAATACCACGTGAGCGTGACTCAATGTGTCAAATGGGGGACACCAACAAGATCATGAGTTTTGTTGGTTCGTTTCCCTGTAAGCCAACCAAGAGAGGGCACCCCCGAAATAAAGCCAGGTAGTATCCCCCCCCCCGAACCCTGAACCCCAAAGCCCAAAGCCGGCCCGGACCACTCCAAAGGGAGCGTATCTGGGCAGAGAGAGACCCCGTGGCTTTCAGCTGAGGGAAAAACAAATCCAGTAGTGATAGATTTCCGTTAAAGCCAACAGGGGAAACATAAAAATAGTCTTAAGCAAATGGAAGTAATATGGCTTATCAGGTACTTGCAAAGATTGAGGAATGCCCGTGCATCCATCACATGGTTGCTAATGGTGGACCCAGCGGTTGGTACTTTGGATTGGACGAAATCCGTTCGGACCACTTTGAAGCCACGCTTGAAACCATAAGGTTTGTTGGTATTTATGTTGGGGAATCGAATCAGAAACCAGGGTTCCTGAACGGTGGTTCGAAATGGATTTCGCTACCATCCACAGTAGTATGCACCCCCCAAGTTTGCTGCGGTGCTCCTTTTTGTTTGGATCATCTTAAGAAACCCTGCAATGATGACTCTCCTGTATATAAATACCAATAAACGATGGTTTCCCATGGGTTTCAAAGCGGTACTGTGGATGGACAAACTCCTGCACCACTTTGAGACCATAAGAAACCATTGTTGGTATCATCAGAAACCAGGGTTTCTTAGGAGGTGCGAAATGGATGTCGCTACCATCCACAGTATGTAAAGGCAGCCCAGTGGTCGTCCAACATAGCACGCCCGCAGGCCACGGACCTGCGGAGGGATGGCACCTGCCCTGGGCTCTGCGACGCGCTGAACCGTTGGGGACTTGGACGCGCGGTTGCTTTGCTTCTTCTTTGATTGGCGTATGCGTTGCGTTGCTTCTAATTGGCCTTGGTTGCCGTTGGTTAATTGGTTGGTTGGTTGGTTGGTTTGGTTGGTTGATTGGTTGGTTGGTTGGTTGGTTGGTTGGTTGGTTGTTTGGTTGGTTGGTGGTTTGGTTGGTTGGTTGTTTGTTTGTTTGGTTGGTTTGTTTGGTTGGTTGGTTGATTGGTTGGTTGGTTGGTTGGTTGTTCGTTTGTTTGTTTGTTTGCTTGTTGGATTGTTTGGTTGGTTGTTTGGTTGGTTGATTGGTTGGTTGATTGGTTGTTTGTTTGTTTGTTTGCTTGTTCGGTTGCTTGCTTGCTTGCTTGCTTGCTTGGTTGGTTGGTTGGTTGGTTGGTTGGTTGGTTGGTTGGTTGGTTGGTTGGTTGTTTGGTTGTTTGGTTGCTTGCTTGCTTGCTTTGCTTGCTTGCTTGCTTGTTTGTTTGTTTGTTTGTTTGTTTGTTTGGTTGGTTGGTTGGTTGCACGGTTGTTTGGTTGTTTGAATGTTTGGTTGTTTGAATGTTTGGTTGTTTGGTTGGTTGGTTGGTTGGTTGGTTGGTTGCAAGATTGTTTGGTTGGTTGCTTGGAAGATTGTTTGGTTGGTTGGTTGGTTGGTTGGTTGTTTGGTTGGTTGATTGGTTGTTTGTTTGTTTGCTTGTTTGGTTGCTTGCTTGCTTGCTTGCTTGCTTGCTTGCTTTGGTTGTTTGCTTGCTTGTTTTTGCTTGCTTGCTTGCTTGCTTGCTTGCTTGCTTGCTTGCTTGCTTGCTTGCTTGCTTGCTTGCTTGCTTGCTTGCTTGCTTGCTTGCTTGCTTGCTTGCTTGCTTGCTTGCTTGCTTGCTTGCTTGCTTGCTTGCTTGCTTGCTTGCTTGCTTGCTTTGCTTGCTTGCTTGCTTGCTTGCTTGCTTGCTTGCTTGCTTGCTTGCTTGCTTGCTTGCTTGCTTGCTTGCTTGCTTGCTTGCTTGCTTGCTTGCTTGCTTGCTTGCTTGCTTGCTTGCTTGCTTGTTGTGTTTGTTTGTTTGGTTGGTTGGTTGGACGGTTGTTTGGTTGTTTGGTTGGTTGGTTGGTTGGTTGATTGATTGGTTGCTTGTTTGTTTGTTTGCTTGTTTGGTTGCTTGCTTGCTTGGTTGGTTGGTTGGTTTGTTGGTTGGTTGGTTGGTTGGTTGGTTGGTTGGTTGGTTGGTTGATTGGGTATTGTCTTGTTTGTTTGTTTGTTTGTTTGCTTGCTTGCTTGTTTGGTTGTTTGGTTGTTTGGTTGGTCGGTTGATTGGTTGTTTGTTTGTTTGTTTGCTTGTTTGCTTGTTTGCTTGCTTGCTTTGCTTGCTTGCTTGTTTGTTTAGTTGGTTGGTTGATTGGCTATTGGTTTGTTTTTTTGTTTTTGTTTGTTTGCTTGCTTGCTTGCTTTGCTTGCTTGCTTTGCTTGCTTGCTTGCTTGATTGATTGCTTGGTTGGTTGGTTGGCTGGCTGGCTGGCTGGCTGGCTGATTGGGGGATGGGTTTGGCCCACCCCCTACATGCTTCACCAATCGTTCAATCAATCCCCTTTTGAAACCCTTTTGGCTCCTTTTTGAAAGGGGGCTAGTGGGAACCCCTTTGACAGGACGAGAGGTTCTCACACTGGAGCTTCTCTGAATCCTTCACCAACCGTTTGGGACCGTTCTGGTCGACACCCCTCTGTGCCAGTCACTGGATGCTTCCAGGTGTTGCCCGCTGACCAAGTCGGCAAACCAAAAACCCTGGACCCCTTCCAGTTGAAGCAGCTGTTCCTGGACCATTAACGTTGGCTTCCAAAGTTTTTACCCCAAGACATACCCCATTTTTTTGGGGGGGGGGCACCCCAAAATGCGTTGTGTTCGGCCTTTTCCCCTTTGCACCTCCAGAAAAGGTGCGCCCACATGGCCGATGACACGGCCATTTGGCAGTGGTTGTCAACACTAGTTGGCAGCCCCAAAATGGGTTGCCCGTTCGGTAAATGGTTGACTACAGTCCACAGTCCGGAGTCCAGATCCTGGTGGCTTCATTTTCACCCGGCCCATACCCATGTGGTCTTTGAGCTGAGGCCGGCTGCCGGAGGGGCTCCGGTGTTTGGAGGCGAGGGGCGGCTTGGAAAGGGGGGGCGGTTGTAGTTGAGTCAAAGGTGTTGGGAGGTTCTGGGGATAATTCGGTGTTTGAGTTGTTGTTTTGGCACTTTTTGGGTGTTTTGGTTGTTTTGCCGTGACCGCAAATTCGGCGGGAACTTCTGGTGCCTTTTCGAATGTTTGCCGTGTAGGCTGGGTGGGATTTGATGGACGAAATCCTGCACCACTTGGGATGGATGAAGCGACCAACTGTTGCGAAGCGGATGATGTTCATCCACGGTTGATCGAGTTCTCGCGCGCGCGCGCGCAGGCGCGTGGACAAAGCCAAGCCTCGCGCCGAATTCATTCGGCGCTGAAGGGAAGGCACCAACCGGTTCATGAGGCAGACGTACAAGCTGGGGATGAAAGCGAGCGTCAGGTGGCGCGGCTGCCCTTCCTGGGGAACCTGCCGGCCGCCTGCGTGGCCAGGGAGTACCGCCGCTTGGTTCGGTTTGGTTCGGGGTGCTGAGTCACGGTGCCTCACTTTGAGGGTGCCTTGGTCTCCGGCAAGGCGAAGCCTGACAAATATGGGGTAGGGAAGAAACGGACCAAATATGCAAATGTGGTCCATTTCCCTAAGGGTTTCTTGGCAGGACTCTTGGCGAGCAAATTGAGGATACGCGTCCGAACTGGGCATTTCTTTAGGGTTCCCTTTTCTGGTGATGTTTTGAAGGGAAAGCCAAAAGAAAAGTTACCAATTTGGGGGGGTCCAACCTTATAACAGACACCAACTGCGCGGTTTTCCTTTGGCTTCCCTCTGGACCCCCCCCCAACACGGTGCGCATGTCTTTCTCGAAGCAAACGCACGAGGCTACTACCTGCCGCGGCCGTGGCCCGAGGCTGACAGCTGAGGCAGAAGGACGCCGCAGGGAACTCCGATGTTCAAGGCCACCAGGAAAAATATCTACCGGTAGGGGGGGGGGTCCAATGCGTGATGTTGAGCCTCAAAGAATCAGTGGCGGGCTTTTGCGGAGGATGAGAAGGGAGGACGAGAAGGGGGGCAAAACCCGAATTCCAATCACAGGACAGGTGGACTTGGACCGACCGAGCTTCAGTTTTTCTCATTGCGCTTGAGGGAGGCATGTTGTCCGGGGGTATTTGGGGCATTGCACTTGAGTTGGACGTTGCTGAGGAATTGAACTTCCTGCCTATGCCTGCCACCGAATCCCTTAAAGAACCCTCAGCAACCATGAATCCTTAGCCCCGCGAAAACCAAGGAAACAAAACAACAAGAGTTCCCTTCAAGACCAACCAATCAGGCAGACCCTACACGGGTTCTGGTGAACAGGTTCCAGTTTGCACCAACGAACGCATGAACCGCAGCAGTAGACCCCAGACCCATTTGACTGCAAAGTTCAACAGCTGGTGTTACGCAGGTTTTAGTCACTATTCTGTGTCTCCACATACCAAGGTGCCATTTTGTGGGCCATAAATTGAGCCACAGCTACTTGTTAGAACGCATTTCGTTGGCCAAGCCGAAACTCAGCTTCCCCGCAGAGGCATCGCCTGCTCACATGTTTGAGGTCGCTTCTGGGTCCCGGGGGCGGCGACTTTGATGCTGTGGCCGCTCGGACGTTTGAAGGGGCGACCGTTTTCTGGACGGCCAAACAATGTATGGGGTTGCTCATCAAACACCAGCCAAGGTCGGGGGGGGGGGTGGAGCAAACCCAATGGGGACATCTCCGAATTTTTTCGAGCAACCCTTTTTTTGGCCAAGCCAAAGACACGGAGGTCGACGAAACAGGCTTGCTGTGAGCGACACAGGGTTCCAGTTTTCCTTACCATGGGCTTGTAGACCCAAGGAGTGTGTTCACCCTTCTTCCGCCTAGAGGGTGAACTCTTGGGGGAAAATGGTCCAAGCCAGGAAGTTTCATGCGAAAGTTCAGGTGCCCCGGAACCCGGTTCCATCTTTATACCGGATTGGAGAGGATTTTTTCTCGTGTGGTCCCGGGCAGACACCGTTTGTGCTTTCCGTTTTTGTGTGAAAGAAACAACAAAGATGTGCTCACTGATTTACAGACACGTCTGTAAACAACACGAGCCACAGTAGCATATTCGCAGAGGCACAGAACCCGAGGCGCCTTCAACAAATGGATTCCGCAAGCTTCTTATTCCTGTCGCATTAGCGAAGAATCTCTTTCTTTGATTCGTTTTTTGTCCTTCGCTCCGAAAGGGAGGCTCCCGAAATTGGTTCGGTTAGCTTATTGAGCCTGCCATTCCTCCAACCTCGAAACCCTGTCTTGGCTTGGTGGTTTAGAGGCTGGGTTCCCAGTCGTTTTGTTTTTCCTTCCGGAACGGGGGGTTAACCATCATGGACCAAGGGACAGCTACTCGAGCCTCCTTTTGGGAATTGGCTCCAACGTTTTGTTTCTTCTCGTTCCTTGTTTGGGGTCCTGTCGTTGGGTTCTTTGGGTTCCTTGTTTTGGGTCCTCTCATTGGGTCTTTTTTGCAGGTTTCCCTTTTAGGCCTTCTCCCGCATGTTTTGAACATATTCCTTCCTGCGGCGCCTTTACCTCTCGTGAGGTGGAGCAGCGCTTCAATGCCGCGCTGAATCTCTGCGTGGGAAGGCGGGGCTGGGACTTGCATCTCGCAACGGAAGCTTTTGTCAACATCGAATAGGGATTCGGACCCCCCCCCCCCAACAAAAAAGACCACAAAAACAAATGTTTTTTGTTTTTGTTTTATTGGTCTCCCGTTGAACCAAGCCCAAAAAGGGTAGCCCCACAACTCACACACACACACACATGCTTCCCCCTCCTGGTGGTTTCCTGTAAAGAAGAGTCCCCAAAAGTTATGGCTTTCTGGCTTTGACGCCCTTCCCCCCCGCACAGAATTACAGATCGCCGTTGAAATTTGACAGTTGTTTTGATGGCGATGGCGTTCCATTGGGGCGAATCAAGAGCCACGGCTCTTGGAAAAAACATAGTCCTAAACGTGGTCAGTTTGGTGGAACATAGGCAGCAGCACTGGTTTCAGTTTGGTTCCAACACCGAGGAGCATAGTTGTCATGCGCAAAACTCTGGCCAATGCAATCCCAGATGCGGGATTGATCCAGGGCAGGCTCGTTTCCAGCCTGCGCTGACGAGGAGCTGCCTTTAGTTGCTTCAGGGTGGTGCTCCAATCTTGTGGTTCGAGCAGCTGCCATACCGTGACGTCCCATGCTCATCCCAGAGCAAGAACTGGTTGTGGAACTGGTTGTGGGAGAAGAAGGCAAATGCCAGCAATCCAGGCCGTCACTGGTAGCATGATTTGTGTGAGGTGTGCCCACTTGCCAATGGCACTTGCCCCATATTCCCGGAGCTCGGCCATTTCTGCGCATCTTTGATTTTGTCGCGCGAGGTTGTGCGGCGGGGATTTGGGGGTGTCATTTTTGAAGGTACCTCTTTTTTTGTGGTTTTAAAGGGAAGCCACAATTTGGAGGGTTTCCTTAAAAAAGACCCTCCCCACTTTGATGTGAACACTGGACAGCGCCAAGCGACTGGCCTGAAGGAATCGCGAAAAGAGTTTGGGGAGGTTGCCCTAACACCATTTAGAGAGAGGTAAATTTGAGGATATCACCCAGTGTCACCCAGTACTCGTTTTCGCTCCCCGATAAAACGCGATAAAACGATGGTCCCACAGGGTTTACTTGCAAGGAATGCTTGTGACGCTTCCAGCCACTTTAGCTGACTTGCCGTTCAGGGCATGCGGATGTGTCCAAAGATCGGGTTGTCTTTTCCGCCTTAAGCAAGCGGAAGGCCAAGTGGGAATTTCTTGTTATTCTCGGCACCTAAATCAAATGCAAGAGTATGATTTGTTTCAAATCTGGCAGGATGCGGGCTCCAAGATCAGGAACAAAATAAGGATCCAGCAACATTACGCGCTTGGTGAATGTCCCGCCTTCAAACCAACGCTACTGTGGATGGACGAAATCCTCTTAGGCACCACCTCAGAGACCCTGGTTTCGGATGATTACCCTGTAAATACCAAGAAACTTTATGGTTTCAACCATGGTTTCATTTCGCGGTGCGACTTGTGGATTTCGCAACCATCCACAGTATTTTGGGTCCCGGAAATTTGGAGCTGGACATCTTAAAGTCTTATCCACTTCGCCATGCTCAGGTGGCCTTTCCTGAACTTCACCAGGCGCCCGCGGCAGGAGGTCCTTGGCTGGAATCCACCAACCATGGGACCTTTTTGTTGTTTCTGCTTTTTTCTTCCGTGTTTGTTTCTTTCTTTCTTCTTCTTGAGGGGGCGGGTTCCCTTGCGTGAATCCACTTGTTATCTTTTTTTGGGTTCTTTGGGGGGGGGGTTGGGGGGGTATCCACAGGGTATCCTCGAAAAAGACACTCATGTGCAGGCTGCGAGGACCACCCTTTGAGCTTGCTCTTTGAGCCTTAATGAGCATGTCTGTTTTGGGATCGTCAGGAACGTTTGGTCTTTGGAGCGCCCTTCCCCTTGTCCTCGTTTCTCTTTTCTCTTTTTTTTTGGGGGGTGGGGGTGGGGGAGGCGGTGGGTTTCCCGTGTCCTTCTTTTCCACTGGAGGACTGGGACTCGCCTTCTTGCCTCTGTGGAGAGTTGGGCGCAACGGCTGCCACGCGGACTTCTGTCCCAACGAAATCTTCCTAGAAAGGTTGCGGGTTGGTGCGGTGGCAACGGGGAGGTCCAAGCCAACAGAAATAGCACCCTCAGAGGGGAGACAAAGGGAAGCCAATTACGAAACCAGAAGGGAAGTCCAAAAAGGGAAGTCCAAGAAGGGAAGTCCAAGAAGGGAAGTCCAAGAAGGGGAGTCCACAAAGGGAAGTCCAGAGGGAAAACCAAAAAGGGGAACCAAGTGGGAAACCAGAAGATCAACTCTTTGGGGCTGAAGTCTCCGGGACACCGAAGCTGTTCAAGACGCACCACCGGGAAATCATCCCTTCGTGGGAATCGTCTAAGTCGCGTCGAAGCGATGGGAAGAAGCGAGTTCTTTATTGAGAACGAGTGGAGAGAATCGGAAACTCTTAGCTAGGCTGAAAGGGAACTCAACAGGAAAACGCAAAATATGTGGGTGTGCCAAACAGGTTGGTTTGAGCCATGGTTTAACGGGCTTGAGTTGCGATTTCTGGACGACTCGCACCCCGCTTTGTATCTCGCAAAGCAAAACCACCGTGGCCCGAAAATCCTCTGAAAGTGCCCAGTATCCACAAAACGGGTGCGACACGGATTGTTTTTGTAGGTTTTTGCCATCCGATCGAATCAGACACCAGGGTTTCTTAAAAAGCGACATGGCCATGGGTCAAAATCCCGTACCCCCAGTGAACATCCCAATCCCCACTAAAATAGGTCCTAAAATGGGCGGTGAATTCACCTACCCCAAAATGGGATCCCAAAACGGTTTAGACAACCACAGCCAGGTCTCACCAAAAAAAGGGAAGCCCCCTTTCTTTTTCTTTTTTTTTGGGGGGGGGGGCGGTGAATTGTTTACAGGTACCCCCAACAAATCACGTGTAACCACCTTTCTAGACTCGCAACCATGGACTCGCCACCGCCCACACGGCGCCGCAAGAGGCCGGAGAACATGGGGGCGCTCGAGGCGGAGCTCCGCAGCGTGCCGGAGAACGAGAGCCCGGGCTCCTGAAGTGGTTGTTCGAGGTTTCAGGGGAGAGCCATGTTTTTTCGAGCGCAGGGCGATGGGCGTGACGTTTTCTTGTTTTTTTTTTGGGGGGGAGGGGGAAACCACGCCTCAGTCGAGCGGTACATGAGATGGGCGTGTCTTTTTGTTCGATTTAAAGGGAAACCAACCGGCAAACCGTTGTATGTCATTTTTTTTTGATTTGAAGGAAAACCAACAGGAACACCGTGGCGCCATTGGGGTGTCCAACCTGAAAAAAAGGCCTAGAGGCTATGGTGTAAATTTGGGAATGACATGTCTCTCGCGTTTGACTTTTTTCCTAGGGTTTATGACACATGTCAGTCTCTATTTGTAGTTGGGGTACATGCAGGAACTCACACCGCCAAATGTCATTAAGCTGCGTATGACATTTCTCTTTGGGTTTCTATTTCTATTTGGGATTGACATTCCTTTTGGATTTCTAGTTTTATGTGGGATTGATCACAATTCTTTGGGGTTTCTCAATTTCTGGAGTCATGTCATGTTGATCTTTCTTGTAATTTGGCATTACTTTTAGGCTTCTATTTCTATTTGGGTTTGACTCTTTTTTGGTGGACATACATTTCGGTTTGGATTTATGACCACCCCACTGTTGAGCCAGGGGTTCCTTCCCTTGACAGCCCTCCCATTTTTTTTTGGAACACCCACAAGGGCAAAACCAATGCTGCCTATGTCTATGGCTCAATTTGGCTTGAAAACTCCCCACAGCCCAATTCTAGCTCTTGTATGCATTTTTTTGAGGGTACCTTTCAAGTTGGTTTAAAGGGAAACCAAAAGGGGAAGCCGCCAGTTTGGGTCTCCAAATCCCGATTTTGACACGCAACTGGGACTAGAACGAGCTCACCGATGGGCAAAACGAGCAATCAACCCATGCTAAAGGTCCTGAGGGGTTCCTGATCTCCAGTTTGTGAGTTGTAGTCATACTAGATCGATACTGTGGATGGACAACATCCTTGCATAGGGTATCATGCATCCGCATTACAACTTGTTGAGGCATTGTGCATTTCACCCTGCTAAGAATTTGGTGTCCTTCGATTCGCTGTGCAATGCTTTGCCTTACGACTTGTGGGACTTTGGCATGTGGGTCGATAAGGCAAGGGCCTGCCAAGAGGTTTGGCGGCCCGTTCATTCATTGTGCTTCAACCCAACGACCGCTTATGTCGTCGTTTCAACCCTTGTTTGTTCCTGCCGATATTTGGTGGCCCTTCTTTTCTACTGCCACCGGAAGGTTCCCGCCTGCGGCTTTTTCAAGGAAGCGCTACCCTGAAGGGTCCGTCTCCAAATCGCCCTAAAAATGTAAACATTTGGCGCGGCGAACGCACGTGTCCTGGAACCTTCACGGCGAAATCCATGTTTTCCCTCTTAACGCCCAATGAACCTTTCTGACCTTTGCAATTCTCAATTTGAGATTGCGGCAGGGCGTGCCATGCAGGCTAGCTCTTAATGCCTCGATTTTCTCTCAAGGAAAACTTGCGACAATAGTGATCCTGAATGAGCAAGCAACGTTCTAAAAGAGGAGCCTCAAACCGGAAAGTGAATTCAACACTCATCTCCTGCTATTTTTCTGACTTGCCTCATGTTCAGGTGGGCTTGTTTTTCCCCCGGTGCTAGAAAACCAAAGTAGCAAAAAACCCAGCCTGGTGAAGAGCTGAGGCTGGCTTCGGGAGCTCTTCGGACACCGGCGCCGGCGCCGCGAGCGAGGCGCCGGTTTTGGCGGCGGGTGTTTTTTTTTTGGGGGGGAACGTCGAAGCCACGTTTTCAAGAAAGGTCTGGGCAACTGATATCAGGGGCGACGAAGTCGTGGTGGTGTATGTTTCCACTTTCGTAGACAGACTAGTTGTCCTTTTCGAGAACTCATGAGACCGACTCAAGTTGAACACAGGCACCGCCTTTGAGCAATCCTGAGAATTTACAACTTGGAGCCACAGTTTCTCAACTCCTTGCTAATGTTGGACCCCAGATGAGGAATCCTGGCGGATCAATCGGGGGTAGGGCCTTGCTCAAGATTGAACAAGGAGACAACCCTGCCCTATCCTACCCTACCCCTACCCCTGCCTACCCAAACCTACCCTACGTGCTCCACCTCCTATTCAATCAAGGGTCAACCTGTTTTAGCAATGGCTCAGCATCCAAGGCATTTTAAGGATCACCCCAAGGAACCACCAAGGCACCAGAAAAGCACCCCAAGAAAAAAACTAGGGGAAACAAGAATAAATTTACGCATTCTGGCAAGGATGCAACCAAAAACCACCAGATTTACAAGCAACCAGACCCTCTAAATCAGGTGATCTTGGTATGTTTTTTCATTTGACCCACAGGTATCCTCACTTTTTTGCAGGGGATCAGAGAACGGCGAGCCCAGAACTTCCCACCGGAGGCTTCCCGCCAGAGAACCGTGTGGCCGTGCCTGCCCTGCCGGCGCCGGAGGCAGAGGGGGTCTGGTTTTCGTGTGGTTTCCAGCCATATGTTGTTTTGGGTACGTTTAAAGGGGAAGACAGAAAGGAAGCCAATCACTTTGGGGGAGTCCCTCTATTTTGATATATATATATATATATATATATCATGTGGGAGGCTTGTCTTTTTCAAGGTTGGACCCACGGATCTAGGTGTGTCAACAAGCATACCAAATGTACCCTGAGTCGAGCAGTGCGTGCAATCACACTTTGAATCAGGTGCATGTGCGAGCAGAGTGCTGCAACCCTGATTTGTCACAGGTCAACTCTAACAGGTATATATTTCTGGCGTGTTCGTGCATAGACTGTTCGAACAGTTGCATGTGTTCGGATAAGAGTTTGTTGCAAAAAGAGCAGGCCGCATATATCTAAAAGAGTCCATCCATGCGCATAGGGTCGTTCCTCTCAGGCACACTCACACACATCCCGTCATGCATTGATCTTCCTCCGTGAAACGACGCCTCCTGATGATGTTTTTGGATTGACCCCTCCTCTCCGTGGCAAGAGCGACCCACATTCTAGCAAACAATATCTCCTAGTCCAAGTCTTCCTGGAAAAGCCACACTCCCTGCAAAGCAAAGCTCACCCGAAAGGGGTGTGTAAACGCCAGCACCACTGGAAGGCGTTCAAATGCATAGTAAACCCAAATGAAGCAAGCCTGTGGCTGAACATACCCTTTGCGAGGACAGATTCAGGCGGAACAAGAAGCTGCAGCCTTGGTTCCACCTCCTTCTTGGAGTGTGCCCTAAATGAAAGCATCCAATTTCTCTTTGAGGCATGGTGTACGAAACGGACAAAGCTTAGTGGTTTGTTGATCGATTGCTAAAGTTAAAACCTCGAAATCTTTCAGTGACAAAAAGTTCCATGTTCCATATCCATGTTCATCCCTCTAAACTCCAGAAAAAGGGAAAAACAACAACAAAAACAAAGGACACCACATCTTTACAGAACTCCGATCGGTAGCTCCCACAAGGCTCCCTCTTCAAAGCCAAGCTGTTGGTTTCTCCCCACATGGGTGCGGTTCCTTTGAGATGTCCGTATTCACCCTGGTTGAACCGACCCTTTTTTTGAGGCCAGCCTGGCCACCCGTCACGAGGAAAAATGATGATGTCTCCGGAAGGATTTTGGATCCAAAAGAGTGTCCTGTTTTGCACCTTAAGTGACCCACCCTGACCCTGGAATCACCTTACCCCTTTTTGATCTTCGGGGTCGGTGGTTTGGCACTTGGGGTTTCCAGGTCTCAACCGGCTGGGCTCAAACTCCAACTCGAAGTCCGTGGAACCAATCAGGCGCCGCGGCGTTTTTCCTTTTGCTGCGGAGGTGGCGCGGGAGATGACGACCCGGGAGCTGCGCTCGGGGCGCCAGACGTAGTGCTGATTTCCGGGATCATTTTGGGACATGAATTTGGCCACACATTTCAATCGGAACCCCCTGGAAAGTGGTTGGTGGACATAAAACCCCGCCTAAATGATGTCCACCAAGGGTCCCTAGTTCGGTTTCATGCCCATTTTGCATTCTGAGACGCACAACATGCTATGCACCAATAGGGATTTGGGCCCCACCCCAAAAAAGGTGGTTCGCCTTTTGGTTTCCCTTTAAAACAACACCGGAAAGGCCACTCAAAACGCAACCTCATTTTCTTTCTCGTGGGACAAAGCTGCGGTAGATTTGGGTATAAGGCGCAGCAACTTTTTTTGAGGTGTCCCGTTCGGAGTTTTCATATGTGTTTCCTGGTCAAAAGACCCTGCGTTGTTGGGGGGGTAAGGAGTGGGGTCATCGGCCCTGTGCAACGGTTTCGGGGTTTCGCCACCGACTCGGGATGATTCCGACGAGATGGGGGATTTGAACCCCTGGCTCTGGTCCGCGGAATCGCCGGGTGGGTGGCCCTGTTTGGCGAACATGGGCTTAGGCATCTCTCGAGTCCGAACAGCGAGCTCCAAACCACCAGGCTCCACGCCCACGGAGCCTGAGTCGAGGTAGGGTCACCGAGGTTTAAGGGAGGTCCTAGTTTTTTCTGGACTCATGACCAGAGCACTGGTCAGGGCTGATTGTGAATAAGGAGGGTTGACCGTATGCTTTCTAGGGTGGTTCAGGGTTTTCCAGGTTTTCAAATGGTGTTTTTGCCCGGCTTGCAGGAGTTTCGAAGGGTTCTCAAAGGGCTGGCACAGGGTTTTCAAGAGGGTCTCCAGAGTTCTCAGGCGATTTTTCCACCGCTTTCCGCCAACTTTGGTTTTAGTTCCAGCAGACAGGTGCACCATCCCTCCCCCCCATCCCTCCCCATTCCCCCACTCCCCCGCACCTGCAGCGAGCCGAGACTCGAGAGACCCGAGAGACGTGAGCTGCGAGGCGCGTGCGAGCTGATGCCGGGCAGCGTCAAGGCCTTCGGCTCCGACACGGAGCTCCTCGTGGTGCGCCTGGCCGGGCTCTCAGCGGCCGAGGGGCGAGGGGCGAGCTCTTGGCAGGCGGTCGAGGGCGGGGGTTCCGGCAATTTGGGATCCCCTTCTTGGTGGGTTTTGAACGGAACATCTAAAAGGAAACCAACCATTTGGGGAGTATCAACTAAACGGGGTACCCGTTTTTGGGGTTGGCGAAGAAAGGGACACCAGGCGTGCCGTGGGTTTGGTGGCTGGCTTTGGTCATAAGGGGCTCACTGGGTTTCTCATCTCAAGAATCAAGGGTTTGTCCGAAAGGAATCGGGTTCCGCCCAGGGGGTACAAAGGAACGGGACCGGTGCCCGGCACCGGTTGGAAGCTGCAGCCCTTGAGTGGTGGTTTGAATCAAAAGGGAAGCCACCCAGTTGGAGGTTCCGACACCCCCCATGTAGTTGAGGGGTTGGCGCGAGTTGGTTGAACGTCCCCCTTGCGGGGTGATGTTGTGCTGCTTTGAAGGGGGTGCCTGGCCACAACAGGGGTCGTGCCCATGTTGTCAGCCCAATTGTGATTGGCCTGAGTCAGATCACTTTTTATCCTTTCAGCCCAGCCTGCACCTTGTGATCCCCTCAATCAATTATCAACTCTCTAGTTCGACTCAACCGATACACATCCGTGCCCATGATTCTGTGGATGGACGAAATCCATTTCGCACCAGTTGATAGGTGTTTTATCAACCACTATTTGCAGGGTTTCATTAATCCCGACTGGTGTGTGTGGAAATTGTCCATCCACAGTATCTCTAGCAACGGAACTTTTGCCGCGTATTTGTCTTCGCGTGGGTGGCCAAAGGGCCCGTCGTACACATCAAGCTTCCCCCTCCATGGTGTGTGAAAGATGGAAAGCCAGACCCTCACTCCAGAAACCCAAGCCACCATCCCAAGCAAAGGCCAAGCCGCCAGCAAAGGGGCAAGCTGATAGAATCTCAGAGCCTCTGCCAGGAATGCTTCCCCAAGCTTAAAGGAAGCTAAGTAACCCCATTAGTGGGAACATGGCAACTATTTCTGCCCATGACTTGAAGATGATTCCACCAATCGGCACCCCTTTTCCTTACTGAAGCTCTTAGGGACTTTGGGAGTTAATTTTGTTTTTATCACGTTTTGGTCTTGAGGCGAGCTTCCCTTTTTTTTGGGCGGGGAACAAAGGGGCAGCCTACAGGACCTTCCGTGTTTCCGGCAAAGCTCCGAGGTTGGAGAAGGCTTCCTCAATAGCATGGCCCGGGGCCCCGGGGCTTCCAGTGCAACCAGTCAGTTGGGGTACGTGTCCATCCCAGCGGGTGGCAGCAATTGGCAGGAATTGGAAGCATGAAACATATGGCAGAGGGCCAAAACCAATGGGATACCATTTTGGGGTAGGTGCACCATCCATTTTAGTCTATTTTAGTGGGGTTTGGGATGTTCACTGGGGGTACGGGATTTTGGCATCATGAAACATATCTTTGTCCCTGGCCAAAAGAATGTGAGGAAAACATATTCCATCCCTGTGCACAAACTTCTGCACCTGTTGGTAGGTGGTTTCCCGTTGTTTTATTCGGTCTCATCCATCCCAACTGGTGCATCCAAGGTTCTAAGACAGCCACGATGCACCACAGTAAGGCCTTCTGGGACAAAGGTATGGAGCCCTTATTTGAGTCACGTGGATCCATTTTGGGGATGTTTGGCCACCCCCTTTGTGGGAAGTTGTTTTTATTTTCACCACGCATATCGAAGGTTTGGAGACCACTTCAACAACAGGATTTCTAGATAAACCGCCCTTCAAAGTAAAGGCCAAGTCTTTGATGTGCAATCTGCCCTTTTTGTTCCTATTCTTTTTCCTTTCTGTCTCCGGCAAACACACTTTCCATCGATGCGACCCTCGAAACAGTCCTAGGATTCTTGAAAGCGACCCCCCGAAAATATACAAGCGGGTCCGACGTTAGGGTGTGTGTGTCTCCTTTACTTGCCGGGCTGGGCTGAATTTCAGCCCAGGGTGCTAGATCAAAACTAGCCGAAAACAAATTGACTGTCCCGTTCTTTCGCCAGTTTTCGAGCAGAACACTTGGCTACCCACATGTTTGACCTTGGCTACCACCTTTGACAATAGGCTAGATAAGTTATCGCCTTCTTCATTTTGACCATGGCTACCCACGCCTTTTAAGACGCCTCCCCCCGCTTTTCGCCCCCCCCCTCACCCCTCCCCCCATCCCCCCTCCCGGCCGCCGTCCCGGCCGCCCCAAGCGACGGATCTCGCGCGAATCGAGGTGCGGCTGCTGGTGGGCGCCTGCGCGGCAGCCGCGCGGGGCGCGCTGCCGCTCTCGGAGCCGGGGGCGCCAAGACCGAGGAGTGACGTGGCGGCCGCGAGGTTGACGGACGGGGTCAAGGGCACGGGTTTGGAGGTGGTGAATCTTGGTGGCTCAAAGGGATGGATGTTGCGAATCTGGTTTGGAGGGTGAATTTGTGGCAGGTTGCTCAAAGGGAACGGTTTGTCAAGGGAACGCGTTTGGGTGATTTCGGAGGCGGAGCCTTTGTCTTGTTGGTGCGACGGGCAGGGAAGGAGACATGGAATGAGCCCGAGAGAAGCCATCACCGATTTGGTTTCCTTTAATGAAACCATGAACATTCCCACATTCCCTGCTGAGCACCAGCAAGTTGTCTATTTTTTTCGGTGGACTCCTGAAACATTTTCCGTGAAGTTTCCCCAGTAAAAGCTGCGTGGAGTCATCAGTTGGGGGATCCGTGGGTCTAGGGAACGGCTTGGATGTGGCGAATCTGGGCAGTGGCCAAATGTTCTACGACCTGGTTGAAATTGGGGTTATGCTGCATCCGATATGGGTATGTGTCAAACTACCCTCCACTTGGTAGTTTTCCGTTTGTTCCTTTTTCCTAAGCCGAAAAAGGTTGCCCTCAAAAAAACACGCACCCTTATAAATACTGTGGACGAAATCCTGCACCACCTAAGAAACCCTGGAATGATGATTCTCTGGTAAATACCAACAAACGTTAAAACGTTATGGTTTCCGCATGGCTTCAAAGTGGCGCGAAGTGGATTTCGCCCATCCACAATATTATGTGGTAGGTTTCCTTTGGTTCCTCTTTCCTAAGCCAACAAAGGGTGCCCTCAAACAAACACGCAGCCTTATGGATATTTCAAGCCACGGTTTTGCTCCGCACGTCGACCTCGGCGCCATCCGCCCGCCTCCCGGGGCCTCGGGGACCCGAGGCTCCGCGCGGCTTTGGCCGCAGAGCGGGTGGTGGATCTGTCGGAGTTCCTGGCCCCCGCAGCAGGCGAGGACCTGCAGGGAGGGAACTCCCGCTCGGCTCCTCATTGGTATATATTGGTATCACCGAGCACCCGAATCACGCGTCTTTTGAGCTAATAGCAGACAATTTCGACCGAACACATTTTCTTGTCAAAAGAAAGCAACAAAACAACAACTTTGTTCTTAAAAAAATAAAAAATGACAGGTTGATATAGCGAAGCCACCATTTATCGGCAGCAATCCAATTGTTGGGCGACCCCCCCGGCTCCCTGGGTCCCCAGGTTGCTGTTCAAGGCGTTTGCCCTGGAAGGACGCGTTTTTGTTCTGTTGGGTGGACCCAGGAAGGACGAAAGACCCAGCGATCTGCGCAAGTTTGTTCACCCGCGATGCAGCAATAATCGCAATTTGCGCAGGCTGAGCGGGCCGAGTGGGCAGAGGGGGCAGCCCCAGAGGGGGACCCAGCGGAAGGAATAGCCGTTGTTCCATTTTGATACCATGATGCGTGCCATACCTACCTGCGGAAATATTTGCCTATTGATTCGCATCCCTGCCTGCTTGCCTCCCTACCGGTTTTACCCACCTCCCTCCTTGCTTGCTTGCCTCCCTGCCTATTTACCTGCCAACCTTCCTGCCTATTTGCCTACCTGCTTCTTCTTTTCCTGCATACCTATCTCCCGCCCGCCTGGCTGCTTATTCACTTCCTGCCTACTGTGGATGGACAAATTGATCCATTTCGCACCACTTGGGGTTGGTCGCTTATCAACCATATACATAGATACATAGAGATTAAAAATAGTAACACTTTTTAAATATCAAACAGAACAACAAATGACAAAAATACATAAATAGAAAATAGCAACATCGAGCTTTGTCCATCCCAACAGCTGCCTGGCGCGGAGCTTGTCCATCCACATGCCAGAAAACGCTGGACACCTCCGCTTTGTTTTGGGCAAAGCGGATGTTAAGCTGGTCAACAGTGCGGATGGTTGCGAAATCCGAGCTTAGGCACCACCAAAAAGAGACCCTGGAATTTCGGAGGATTCCCCGGTAAATACTAAAAAACACGTTATGGTTTCCCCATGGTTTCATTTCGTGGTGCGACATGGATTTGGTCCATCCACAGTACCTCCCTACTTTCTGCTCGCAAGTTGGGCTCCCTGGCGGACTCGGCAAGGCCTGGTGCTACACGAGCAGCACCTGGACAAGGAGAAGGTGTCCGGGCGCCTGGAGAAAGGTGAAGGTGAGTGAATGGGAACCCCGGATGAATCAACCCCTCCTGTTAGAAGCCCCACTAACAAGGGAACCAGGGGTGTATTCATTTGGGGGTCAATATGAATAATCCCTGGTTGTTTTTGCTTGGGTGTGTCCCCTTATGTGGATATCATTGGAGGGCACACGGTGCCCACGGGCCCGGCTTTGGGTTCCCGAAGCTTGGAGCTGAAAAGATACGGTGGCTTGAGATGGAGCAGCTGTGAACCCAGCTCCAACCATAAATCCATGGACAGTGCGGTACATGACTGGGACCCATTCCAACTTGTCCCCCTTGCAATAGTTGCTTGGTGTTCCGCCCATTTGGTAAGCAGGTGAGAACGATTATGAGGGGACCAATCCCAGTTGTCCTTCTTGCAAAGTTCCAACTTGTTCCTCTGCTTGGGCATGTGGTTTCGTGCCCATCCCAAATCCTAAACTGACCCTACTCTATGCCAAGCCAGAACCCCGGGTCATTTGCCGCGTGACCCAGAAAGCTGACGCGCGTCTCTGGACAACATCCTGGAGTCGGTGGATTGTTCTAGAGGTTTTGTCCATCCTGCCTGGTGCCGATCTTGCATCCGCAGGTTTCATCCACACAGCAGGTTTGCTGCGCTCATGCCTAGGGCCGCTTTCTCTTCCTTCCCTGGACGGAATATGGGACACACCTCCCCATGTTGTCCGAAGGGCTGGTTGAGTCAAAAATATGGGCACCTTGTAAAGCTGCCAAAAAGGGGCTGAAGTTTTCTGACCCCCCAAATGGCCTTTTTTGAGGGTACACCATTTTTGTTTAAGGTTGGTTTAAGGGGAAGCCAAAAAGGAACAATCCCTCAAAGATGGATGCCAAATATGGGGATACAATTACTTCTTACCACCATACACCATTCGTTTGTTATTTAATACATATATATATATATATATATATACATACTGGCCACACTATTTTCCTTATCCTTGTTTTTCCAACACCTTTCTGGGTTCCATTTGTTTTTAAGGCTGGTTTATAGGTGTCACTCTATTTGGGTACCATTCTTGGGTACCATTTTTTTCGGGATACCATTTTTTGGGATATCATTCCTTTTCGGGAATCATGTTGACCCCGGATTAATGGACCTCTGTTTATTAACATGGGCATTTCCCCCCGGTGTTAGTGGGGATTTATCAGTTTTGGAGGGGAACACCCCCATACTGTGGATGGACAAAATCCATTTCGCACCACTTGGAAACCATGGTTGAAACCATTATTTGTTGGTATTTGCAGGGCAATCCTCTGAAACTAGGGTCTCTGAGCCCATATTAATAAACAGAGCTCCATTCATCCGGGGTCAGCAGGTCTGTGCTTTTTCTTGCGCGCCCCGCGGAAAACCTCGGCCCGAGCCCAGGCCTTGGTTGCCCTTCACGGGGGCGGAGGCGGCGGAGGAGTTTCTGCGGGAGGAGATCTTGGTGCGCGTGGAGCGGGCGTGAAACCCCAAGGGAAGAACGGGGGGGAGGGGGGGGTGGGTGGGGTGGGGGTTGGCTTTCATTTCGAGGAAGCCAATTGTTTGGTTCATTTTGGCTCAAGGGGCCATCATTGGGGTAATTTGAAGATTATGTTGTTGGGCTCCTATGGGAAGATGCCGTTGCCTTAGGGCTCGATTCCTGAAATGTCCGCCCAGAAATGGTGGCAACTCGGATCTTGGGGTCACTTTCTGTGACATGAAGCACGCTTGACGCTTCCATTCGCTTCAGAGCATTTGTTTGTATTATACATTTAGGAATAAGGGATATCACTACTGGTAAAAACGTGTGTGTGTGTGTGTGTGCGGAGTGACAGAATGCCCTGTCACCACCCTTTCAGTTTCGCAGCAGGGGCGTGCAGCACCTTTGGCATACTGCACGCAATGAAGCTATTGCCAAAGGTGGGAAGGGTGTCCAGACGTGGACACCTGTACCTGCTTTCCGTGATTCTGAATGTCCTTTTGGCCCCCTTGGTTGCGGCGCTGTTTGTGCTTCTTGTTCTTTCCTGTAACGGTTTCGTTTCTAAAGTGAAGCCAAGTGACTTGCAAGCAGACCTCAGCCGAGACTCATCAGTTGTACTCGAGACTCATCAGTTGTACTCGAGACTCATCAGTTGTACTCGAAAGATTAGCACTCTCCTTTTGGAGTTCAAGTGTGTACACCCCATTCGTGGGGAATCCTCGGGTGTACCCATTGTGTGACCCCGGGCCGGCTCTGTCGGAAAATTTGACCTCAACGTGCGTATCATAGAACAGCGGAATTTCACATTTAATCAGGAACGAGGTTTCACTAAAGGGAAGAAAGCCGTCAGTTCATAGTGACGTCTCACCATAGTTGATAGCTGCCGATTTTCATTGCCTACCTTGACCATTGGTTGAACTTGTTGCTCGTATCATTGCGGTTGTCGATTGCTGACTTGTATTTGCTTTGCCTTGTACATTTCGCTCGACCATTGCAGTTGAGGGCCGCTAACTTGCATTTGCATGGATTTGAATATTGTCGGGTCTGATTCTCTCAAGGTGGAAGTGTGCAAATTCCGATCTGGTTGCGTCACCATGTCTCGACGTGATGATCGTGATAGATCCAGGACTCGACGCAGACGTGATCGGAGTCCGTCCCCTCAAGCTCACAAAGCGCGCCGACGTGAGCACAATGACAACCAGGTCTCGGAGAACATGGATTGGAACAACTTGATTTCATGGCAACACAACTCCGGCTACAATGCTGCTAACAACTTTCCGATGGTGCCTACCAATTTTCAATCGACTCACAACCCCACACAACAATTCCAGTACCCGGCGATCAACTACATGATGCCGATCCCTCCTGAACCCACACCGTCCAAGTTCATCCCACCAATGATGCCACCACCGGTCACTACTTCCCAACCTACACCTTCACCTGGACCTCCTGCAGCTCTACCGGTTCGTCCTCAGAAAGCCTGGCTTACTCCCTCGCCTGACTGGACACCTGCAGATGGCATGTTTGATGTCAATCAACTCTACAACTTCAGCCTGCCCATGACTGTTGCCAACACTCCACATGGCAACCTTCGCGACATGTCAGGCATGGATATTAGGGACGTACGCCTGGTTCAGGTTATCCACGGGGGCCTCACCAACTGGCTGCTCAGGCCGTTTGCACACGGCCGATTCGTGACGTGGGAAGGCTTTCGCACCCGCACTGAAGCCTTACTTTGGAGTACCTGCTCCAAACTACTACGAAGATCGCAGTCACTCAACCTGCTCACCCTGGAAAAGGACCTTGCCAACACGCTGGGTCTCAACATTGATGACTTCAATCAGCGCATCAAGGTCCACGACCATTTGGCCAACCTGGTACTTCAATTTCTTCAACAACATCACACCTCTCTCGCACCTGCTGCCCAGACCGATGACATGGTCAAGAAGTTCAATGACTTGAATCGTGCACATGAACTTCTACAGGCTCAGTATTCCGCATCACTTCGCGCATCGACCTCGCCCACGATGACAAACCAGAAAGATGATGCAGAGTTGGTTACACCGCCACCGGTCAACCACACACCATCCTCGTCACCTGCCAGCTCCCTCCCACAGCCAGCGCGGCCGCCCTGGATGGCAAGTCGTTTGATAGCGTGGTGCAACCTCGGATCATGCAGTCTCTTCACGGAGTGTCGTCACCGCCGTCCAAACCGGCGGCGTCACAGTTGCTCACCATGCACAGCACGCCGGATGAAGTTGTCAAGTACTACACATGGACCAGTGACCAACCTCGCCTTTTCCTCAAGCAAGCACCCACAACAACCACTTTGGCGTCGCTGGTTAAGTGGGCCAATCACCCGTCCCGGCTCAACGGCAACAAGTCGTTAGATTCTATGGCGACGCAGCTTCTTCAAGCCAGGCAGCGCATGCCGAAGGGCGATGCGCCCACACTCGGTGCAATGGCAGCACTATGGGGTCTTGAACCCGGGTACCTTACCAAACTCACCGAGAAGGCATTGAGTCACCTCATCGTGACCGCTCGCCTGCTTTGTGGATGAGAAGGCATCATATCGACCTTCGTTCTCATATGAGCCCGGCGCGGCAACAATGTCACGGATGAGTCCAGGTGAAAACTCGTCCGTCAAGTGTTTGCGTTGCACATGATTGATTTTGTACTTGCTTGTTCTTGCATTGCCTCTTGTGTGATTGTCTGTGATGCTTGTATTCATGTCGCCGCCTTGTGGTAGATTTCGTTGGTTGCATCTCACCATGTTGGATGAACTTCGCCATTGCGGAATCTATGATGATGTTGCACAATGGCAGTCGCTGGACGACCTTCTGCACTCGTTGACTACATTCTCGACGTGCTGGCATTACTGTTTCCCTGGACTACCACCACCGTCGATTCCAATTGAGGAGTACGAATCCATCACACAATTGCCGTGGCTGGGTCTCATCATCGAGGTCTTAGTTATGGTCCGGATAGCCCTCCAGATTCCGAATTGCGCTATGTCAAACTCTCAGCACACCGTGGCCAACAGGTACGAACTTCACAGATGTCGGTGCGCTGCCTATTTATTGATCAGTTTCTTACAACGTCTCATTTCACAGGATCACGGCTACATCCCGCCGTTCTTCGAAGTTCTTCACTTCTACAAGACTTCTCTCTTGTGTGAAATCATGCACTCAACTTTCGCTGACACGCGACATCTACGCTCATTGCGGGCGCGATTTCCTGACCTCTACGACTTCATACATGATCCAGGTCATCACCAACAACCGTGCGTCTACATTCGACTTTCCCCATGGCACGCACCATACTATGTTGGGGCGACTGATCAGGATGTTCTACGTCGTGAACACTCACGCAGTCGCAAATTTCTACAACTACTTCGTGGACGGCATGCCTTCTTTGAACCGGCGCTTCACTACTGGAAGCGATCCAACACTTACTGGCTCTTCTGTGCTGTACCAGTGGAAATCAAACTTCCTGTTTCCTCGGTGTGGGTTCAAGAAAGCAAATGGCAATTCCTGCTACGCCCGCATTTGAATGCGCCCTGGGTACACAGAATCTTGCGCAAGGTGGGCTTCCGGGAGCATCTTGTAGATTTTCGACGCCACTCGTTGTCGTCGCCCACTTCCCTCGGCTTGCACAAGCGCTTTCGACGACGACTACATCCGGATCTCCAACGGCAACTACGACCTGACACCCTGGATGACATTCAAGCCCACTACTCGATCCTCTATCAGCTGGGATCGAATACAGGAGCGTCGTTCCAAGTCATGCGTGACCTACTGTCAGCCGCTTTCCCTCCCACTCAGCTGTACTACTTATTGCGGCTCGCAGTATTTGTCAACGAACCCTTCCGCTCCAAGGCCCAGAAGCTCCTCGCCCAGGTACTACGCAAACGACGGCTACAACCACCCACCACGTTAACACAGCTACTTTTGCCGCCGCTACATGTCCAGAATTGGAAAGCTCTACTGGGCACATGGTTACAAAGCTGGATTGCTTCTCATCGGGATCTGTTCCCCTCTCTTTTCCTTCCAAAGATCCGGGTTGTGGAAACTCGCAGCGCCACACTGGGCGACAAGATATACAACTATCGCACATGGCAGCGCAAATGGGCGCCTGACACATTCTTTCCGTGTCGCTGTTGGGACATCGATGATAGCCATCTACACCGTGCACATGGTCACGCAGTAATGTTGGATGAGTTTTCTCGCATCAATACGGACATTAACATTGAAATCATGACCGCCTCGATGAAGGATCAGTTTTTCGGTGATGTCGACTTACTACATCAACGTTTCACCACACAACTTCGCAAACTTGCTCGTCGCTGGCATGTACATGGTTCCGGTCTGCTTTCAGATCTACAGCCAGTTGTGTCTCAGCTAATGGACACTCATCGGATCAACCTTCAAGATCGGGCTTATTGGTCATCGACATCGTTGCAACGCACTGTGGCTTCTTTGTCTTCGTGGGTAGTCATCCCGGCGGATCATTTCCCCTCCCGCGCACATGTGATGTGCCCGTCCCTGTTTGCCATATTGATGCGGAAGACATTCTGCGCGGGGGATGTCTTCTCACTTTGCCGCGAATCTGCAGCATCCTTCCGCTCTGAAGTGGTAAACACAGTACCTTCTCTCCTACGTCAACGATATGCATGGGGCCTTCGACTTCAAGCACCGTTGCCCACAGCGCGCATCCTCCCAAAGCCGACCAAGGACTGGCAGAAAGCTCGACCCATCATCTCATTCTTTCGCACATGGGCAGCTCCCTTCCTCACGGTCTTCGGTGCACTTATATTTGAACTCACCAAGGCAGCCTTCCCCGACATTGCAGGTCAACTCTCAGTACAAGAACTTATCCAGCAGCTGTGGGAAGCACTGTCAAAAGCAGATCCTGATGAGTACATCCACCTGGTGTCGCAAGACTTGTCAGGCTTCTTCACGTCCATTCCTACGGAACGTTTCCATCAGGCGCTTCAAGTG